GTGTGTGAATATAGCGGGTGGTCACAAGTGCCAGTGTCCCGAGGGCTATAACGGCGACCCGGAGGTAGAATGCGAGGACGTCGACGAATGTGCGCGCAACCCTTGCGGTCGTTCAGCTCACTGCACAAACGTGCACGGCAGTTTCCGCTGCTCCTGCCCGGAAGGAATGAGCGGCGATCCTTGGGTAGGCTGCCACGGTACGTGATCTCCGTCCCTAATTATCCGAGACCCCCTTATTATATTACTAGCTTTAATTGAATCTTGTGCACTTAAAACATGTCCTTGTCCTGCAGCTTGTTACGTAATAATTATTCAGTCATCATAGTTATAATTTATGTAATAATTATTCATTTAAGTCATGTTCATTTAATAATTACTATATTCATTTCGACAAATAACAATTCACGTAATCATTCATATAAGAAATAATACATATAATGATTTATTTAACTCATATTACAGTTCATATAATAATTAATATAATATTTTATGTACATTATGCTTACTTATTACACATAAACTGGAATCTCAAAAATATATCAAGGATGGATATGAAGACACTATGCTTGATAATACGAATTAATAAAGAAATTATAGTTAAAAATGCACTAACCATCTAACAGATATAAACGAGTGCGAGGAGGGTGCGGCGTGCGGCTCGGAGGCCGACTGCGTGAACACGGAGGGTAGTTTCGAATGCAGATGCCGGGCCGGCTATCAGATGGATGTAACACACGGTTGCGTCGACGTGAACGAGTGCGGTCGGGCGGACGCGTGCGCGGAGAACGCTAGGTGCATCAACGTCCCCGGCTCGTACAAATGCATCTGCCCACAGGGCTTCATCGGTCAAGGGTTAACGCTATGCGAAAGTCGGTGTACCTCCTAATTTTATTAATACTTTAATGCTTGTCCCTTGATTAACCCGTGCTGATTAACAGACGTGAACGAATGCGAGAGAAACCCCTGCGGCGAGAACGCTGAGTGCAGCGACACGATTGGCAGCTTCGCGTGCAGTTGCAAGCAGGACTACACTGGTGACCCGTTTAAGGGATGCAGCGGTTAGCAATTAGAAACAGATTAACACGCCACTTTTTATCTTTTTTAATTTCTATTAATTGGAATATTATTTCATTTATATGAACTTTCCATTTTTTCTATTAGATATCGACGAATGTACAGCGTTAGAAAATCCTTGTGGCAGGTATGCTGTGTGCAAGAACACAGATCCTGGCTACAACTGCGTCTGTCCTCCAGGATATAGTGCCAACCCTAATCCAACAGTCGCTTGTGACCAGGTAAATTATTACTCTATTTTCAATTTCAGTGGTAAATGGTACTAACTATATTCTTAATTTTAATACTGCATATAATAATAATGTGTATTATTTTTTAATGAAAAAAAAACTTGTTTAGACCGACGTGACGACTCTTTGCAAATCGAACTTCGACTGCGTTAATAACGCCGAGTGTATCGAGGGACAGTGTTTCTGCAAGGACGGGTTCAAAGCCGTGGGAGCTGAGTGCGTGGACCTTGACGAGTGTCTTTCGAATCCTTGCGGGCCCGCGTCGATCTGCGGCAACACTAGAGGCAGCTATCATTGCGAATGCGAGTCCGGTTTTGTTGGAACCCCACCGCACATACCATGCAAGGGTAAATAAATGAAAAATTATGATAATATTAAAATAGAAAAAGCATTTGTGAGCGTGATTTAAATTACGTAGCACCGTGCGACGAAGTAACTTGTGGAGAACACGCGTTCTGCAAAGCGGATGGTCACGAAGCTTATTGTATCTGCGAGGATGGCTGGACGTTCAATCCCAATGACATTGCAGCTGGATGCGTTGGTATGTATATTAAAATAATAATTAATTTATACAAATTTAATAATTTATTATTAAAAACTGTTTGAGAAATGATTGATTTATATTTAATGTAATATGTAATTAATGTATCGCTTTTTAATCAGATATAAACGAATGCGATGCGATAAATGGCCCCTCTGGCCGTTGTGGAAAGAACGCGATTTGTACGAACACTCTGGGTGGATTTACTTGCCAGTGCAAGCCCGGCTTCTCAGGCAACGCCTTTAAACAATGCATGGGTAAACTAGGACTTAATTTAAAAATCCACAAAGCCTTATGAATATTGTTTTACTTAATATATTTTATTTCATTAAAATAGACGTAGACGAGTGTACCAGGCAGGATGCCTGTGGTCACGGTGCCGCCTGTACCAACACCGAGGGCTCCTTCTCGTGTACTTGCCCGGAAGGAACCATTCCGGGTCCAGATCCGTACATAAAGTGTGTTGGTATAGTTACCTGCGAAGATGACAGCGACTGTCCAGGGAATGCTATTTGCGATCCGCAGAAACGATGCTTGTGTCCTGAGCCCAATGTTGGAAACGATTGTAGACGTATGTAATTAATAAACATTTTACTTTAGCAAAATTTAACCAAAATGAAGCATTAAAAATTAAATCAATTGTACGAATGAACAAATCTTTGATAATATTGATTACTATTAAACCAGATCCGTGCGAGGACTTATCCTGTGGACCGAACGCCCACTGCATGTTGTCCAACGACGTGGCCACTTGTCTATGCCGCAATGGTTACACAGGGAAGCCCGGGGTGAAGGGCGGCTGTAGAGACATCGACGAGTGTGCTATCAATCCGTGCCCACAAGGTGCGATTTGTAACAACGAGCCAGGATCGTTCTCTTGCCAATGCCCAAGCGGTACCACGGGCGATCCTTATAGCGGTGGGTGTCAGGAATCGAAAGCTCCCCACGTTTGCGGACCGAGCACTCCTTGCCCCGCTGGCGAGCAGTGCATCAAGGATGAATTCGTGGGAAGTAGTGTATGCATCTGCCAAAGAGGGTACACGAGGGACCACGAGACAGGGAAGTGCAGGGATATCAACGAGTGCATGGAGCTCAGGGACAAGCCTGCTTGTGGCGTAAACGCTATTTGTAAAAATTTGCCCGGAAGCTACGAGTGCCAGTGCCCACCTGGGTTTAACGGAAATCCGTTCTCTCTTTGCGAGGGTAAGATTTATTTTTAAATGTTTCACATTTCTTAATTTCGTATTCAATAATATTGAAACAAATATTTTGTATTTTATAATTATAGAGTGCAACAGCATCGAATGTCAATGTCAGCCACCTTACAAGATTGTCAATGGGAAATGTATGTTGGCTGGGTGTTCCAAGGGTGAGAAATGCCCAACTGGCGCGGAATGCATCACTATCGCTGGCGGAGTGAGCTACTGTGCTTGTCCCAAAGGATACACCACCAAGAGCGACGGTTCCTGCGATGGTACGTACCTGTATAATCGAGGAATACATAATCATATCGATTGATTAATTCTTCACAAAATTTAGTTAATCCTGCATACAAATTGATTTAATTTTTATACAGATTAATACATTTTTTATGTAAATCTATAGATATAAACGAGTGCATAGTGGGACACCAAGTGTGCGGCTACGGAGCGGAGTGTATAAACCTCCCAGGCTCGCATCAATGCGTCTGTCCACACGGCTACGGTGGAGACCCGTACAATGGACTCTGTTCTCCAGCTCAGAAACGTTGCACTGGCGACAACGAATGCAAAGCTAACGAGAAATGCGTGCAACCTGGCGAGTGCGTCTGTCCCCCGCCGTTTTACACAGACCCTCTTGATGGGAACCTTTGCAAGAGTGAGTAGCAATCATATTCTGTTCAACAATCAATACTTACATTGTTTATTTTAATTAATCTTCTAAAAAATCTTTACATATAAAACTTTTTAATTTTCAGATCCCTGTGATCGATTCCCTTGCGGTATTAATGCCAAATGTACACCAAGCGATCCTCCGAGGTGCATGTGCGAGGCCGGCTATGAGGGAGACCCGCAACACGGTTGCGTGGACGTGAACGAGTGCGCTAACAACCCCTGCGGACACGGCGCCTACTGCATCAACACCAGAGGCGATCATATCTGCGAGTGTCCAAGGGGAACAGTCGGCGACCCTTATGGAGGTGGATGCACCGGTGTCGCAGTTCCGAAGAACGAGTGCTCATCTAATGACGATTGTGATAATTTGTTCGCCTGTGTTAACGGAAGATGCGTGAACCCTTGCGATAATATACCTTGTGGACCGAACGCCTACTGTGAGCCAGATAAGCACGCAGCTTGGTGCAGGTGCGTGATTGGATTCGTCGAGGGCAAGAACAACGAATGTGTTTCACGTAAGTACAACTATCACTAATAATTAAAATCTATTTATTCTTAAGGAAAAACAAAATCTATTTAGATTTTAAACTAACATGCTTTTAAATTATTATATCATTTGCAATGATCTGTATTTTTCAACAGAATGTGACGGTTTCGTCTGTGGATCTGGGGCACAGTGCATTGTGAGCTACGATGGGCCGACTTGCAAGTGCATAGAAGGTTTTATGGGTAACCCGTTCCCCGGTGGCCAGTGTCAACCGGATGTTTGTTCCCCGGAAGTGCCATGCGTAGAGCCAAGTGTCTGTATAAGCGGAAGATGTAAACGTCGTTGCGAAGGTATCGTTTGCGGAGTGGGAGCTTCTTGCGATCCGGCGACCAATAAATGCGTGTGTAATCCGTACTTCATTGGGAATCCTGACCTCCTCTGCATGCCACGTAAGTAATTTGGGTGTAATTTAATTAAAACGAAACAAATTGAATTTTTGTTTCAATATTGTATTAATATAAAGTTTATTTAGTATTAATATAAAATTGCATTCTTTTAAATTTCAACAGCGATTCAGCCAGCAATTTGCGATCCCGGTTGCGGGGTCAATGCCCACTGCGAGTACACTCTGCAGGAATCGAAGTGCGTGTGCAATCCAGGTACCACAGGAAATCCATATCACGGTTGTGGCGTTCAAGAAAAATCCGATTGTTCCACTGCGCTTTGCGGCAAGGATGCACATTGCAACGTTAGTCCAAACGCAGTCGAATGTTTGTGTCCACCTGGATACGCCGGAAATCCGTATATTCAGTGTCATGGTAAACACATATAAATTTCAATTCTTACGCGTAACAGAGATTCCAGTTTGTCCCTTTTACTCACTAACATAAATTTCTAGCTTTTTTTTAAACAAAACTTACATATAAATATGTATATGAAATGTTTAAATGACTTTCCATTCAAATCATTTTTATATAAATCCTATAAATGCATAATTTAAAAACTGGAAGCTCCATTTGAAAATAAAATATTTACTTAATTCCAGATATTAACGAGTGCAACGGGAACGCGTGTGGAAGCAACGCAGTCTGCATAAACACAATCGGCAGCTACGATTGTCGTTGCAAAGAAGGCTTATTCGGCAATCCGTTCATCGGTTGTCAACAGGTACAAGTCGGCCCTTGCACGGATCCGGCGACGTGCACTTGCAGCGACTCGGTCCCCTGTCCATTCGACTATAGCTGCGCGTCTGGCAAATGCGTCAACCGTTGCAGCGACGTGAAATGCGGCCCGAGATCAGTCTGCCAGGACGGAGCTTGCATCTGTCCGCCCGGCTACAGCGGCAATCCGAACGACCTGACCACAGGATGCCACCCGCACCGTCACTGTTCCAACGACTTCGACTGTGAACCTCAACAAATCTGTTTCCAAGTAGGCAAAGGCGTCAGAAAGTGCGTGGACGCTTGCAGCAAACTACAATGCGGCCCGAACGCTCTGTGCGTAACTCAAAATCACGTGTCTTCATGTTTGTGCATCGACGGATACCAAGGAAATCCTAGCAACCTGGTAGAAGGCTGTCAACCCTCAAAATCTGTGATAACGTCTGGGTGCACTCACGATTCTGATTGCGCTCAAGGGTCATTCTGTATTCTCTTAGACGGTGGTATTCGCGACTGCGTGAATCCTTGCAGTAAAGTGGTCTGCGGTGCGCATCAGAAGTGCGAGCCTGATATAATTCCTGGTCACGCCACTTGCAAGTGTCAGGACGGTTACGAGTGGAATCCAATATTATCTTCTTGCGAGAAACCATCTGTCCCTGATTGCATCTCCGACGACGATTGCCACGCGAAGGAAGCCTGTCGACCGGATGCTCTTGGAGTTTTGAAATGTACCTCGGTGTGTCGAAGCTTTACCTGTGCTGTGAATTCTCAGTGCGTGGCGGAAAGACACCGCGGCCGCTGCGAGTGTCTACCCGGTTTCATTGGCAATCCGAACGATCGTCAGGGTTGCCAGACACCCAGGAAGGACCAGTGTTCCTCTGACAGTGAATGTCCTGAAGATCAGACTTGTAGAACCGTCAAAGATGGCCTTCGCACCTGTCAACCGGTCTGCAATTTCGTATCCTGCGGTCCGAATGCGCTTTGCGTGGTCCACAACCACGTCGCCAACTGCGAATGTCCACCTGGCCTCTACGCCGGTGATCCTAACGACGTCATTCAAGGATGCAAATCAGTCCCTTGCGTTTATAATTTGGACTGTCCGCCCACTCAATTGTGCAACAGATTAACGCATACCTGCTACGATGCCTGTGATGAAAACGCTTGCGGTGTGAATGCAGTGTGCATAGCAGATGATCACAGAGCAATTTGCCAATGTCCACCTGGGCTGAAGCCTAATCCTGTTCCTGACGTCGAGTGCATTGCTATTGAAGCCTGTCACCCTAATCCTTGTCACGAAACGGCTATCTGCATTCCTGGACCGTCAAACAATCCCGTTTGTCAGTGTCCCTCCAATTTTGTTGGAGATCCTTACGGGAAAGGGTGTCAACCGGAAGGATACTGCGCTGGTGCCAAGGACTGTCCTGTGCAGTCCATTTGCCTCAATCATCGTTGCGTTAATCCTTGCGAGAACGCCTGTGGACCGAATTCCATCTGCGAACTAATTAATAGCCAGCCAACGTGCAAGTGTATTCATAGATTCATTCCATCTTCCAAAGGACCTCAGGATGGATGCGTGCGTGCTATGAATTATTGCCATATTGATGCAGACTGTGAGGAGAGCGTGTGCCTCGAAGGACAGTGTATAGGTATGACAATTAATTTGCAATTTAGTATGTTTTTTTTAGTTAAGTAATAGACATTGGTTTTAATTAATGAGAAATAAATGTTGATTGTTACAGCTGTATGTCGCGCAGCTACTGATTGCTCAACCGGCGAGAAATGCGTGAACAATAGGTGCGTGGTGCCTTGCGTAACTCACACGCAATGCGAAAACGATCGAGCTTGTCTTAATGGATTCTGTGTCCTGGGCTGCCGGAGCAACAAGGATTGTCTCTCAACAGAAGTCTGCCTTGATAACAAATGTCAAGGTACGTAATTTTATTATACAGGGTGGGCCTCGTAATATGACGACTTCGAATAACTCGCAAGGTATTTGTTGTTCGATACAAATTTTTAAACAAATGTTAGATGGCTTCCAGAGGGATTAGTCTTGTACTCTGTTCTTTCTGTTTTCGCTTTTTATGGAGATATTATAGTCACCTTCAGTTTTTTAATGTATTTGGAATCTTATTTGGATTATTATATTTATTTAACTATTTTTGTTAGATCCTTGCAAGAGTAAGAACGTCTGTGGTCCAAACGCGATCTGTAGCTGCGTGAATCACGCCACGGCCTGCACCTGTCCTCTCGGCTTTCACGGAAATCCCACGCCTCAGCAGGGCTGTGTTCGAGTTCCGAACATTTGCGAGGGTCCTCATGATTGTCCTAGTCAGCACGTGTGCGTTTCCGGTTTCTGCCAGTGTCAGTGCAGCGAGCAGAACAACTGCGCCGAAGGCGAACGTTGCAAAAATGGAGTCTGCATAAAAGTGTGCTATAGTGATAGTAATTGTCTGCCAGGTGAATTGTGCATCGACGGTGGCTGCGAAGTGGGCTGCACCTCTGATGCTGGGTGCAATGATAATGAAGTCTGCATCAACAACAAGTGCAAGTAAGTATTGGCTTTATTCGTGCTTTATTATTACTTTTATTTTATAATAACTATGTATTTGCATAATTTTAAACATTCTGTTTTGCAACTTATAAAATTTTTATAAATCATATATTAATTCTATTTTCTAATAGATGTAGTCATGGATTCATTGCTGGGCCAGAACACTGCCTCGATATCAACGAATGCGATGACCAACCATGCCATTCCAGTGCGGAGTGCATCAATCTGCGTGGTTCCTACCGCTGTGTCTGTCCGCAAGGCACAGCCGGCGATCCAGTCGGTTCAGGATGCATAATTCCTCATCAATGCAATTTGCACGTGGACTGTCCGGACTCGCAAGCTTGCATCCAACACAACTGCACCGATCCTTGCACTCTAGTCGACTGCGGGCTTAATACGATCTGCTCGGTTCTTGACCACACGGCCTCCTGTCAATGTCAGCCTGGTTACATCGGTGATGCCTCGGGCTGCTTCAAAGTAGAGTGCCTTTCAAACAACGACTGCCCCACGGACAAGTATTGCAATGAAGACACCAACAAATGCAGCAGTAAGTTTCGAACATATTTTTCAGTTCTCATTNGTAATAGACATTGGTTTTAATTAATGAGAAATAAATGTTGATTGTTACAGCTGTATGTCGCGCAGCTACTGATTGCTCAACCGGCGAGAAATGCGTGAACAATAGGTGCGTGGTGCCTTGCGTAACTCACACGCAATGCGAAAACGATCGAGCTTGTCTTAATGGATTCTGTGTCCTGGGCTGCCGGAGCAACAAGGATTGTCTCTCAACAGAAGTCTGCCTTGATAACAAATGTCAAGGTACGTAATTTTATTATACAGGGTGGGCCTCGTAATATGACGACTTCGAATAACTCGCAAGGTATTTGTTGTTCGATACAAATTTTTAAACAAATGTTAGATGGCTTCCAGAGGGATTAGTCTTGTACTCTGTTCTTTCTGTCTTCGCTTTTTATGGAGATATTATAGTCACCTTCAGTTTTTTAATGTATTTGGAATCTTATTTGGATTATTATATTTATTTAACTATTTTTGTTAGATCCTTGCAAGAGTAAGAACGTCTGTGGTCCAAACGCGATCTGTAGCTGCGTGAATCACGCCACGGCCTGCACCTGTCCTCTCGGCTTTCACGGAAATCCCACGCCTCAGCAGGGCTGTGTTCGAGTTCCGAACATTTGCGAGGGTCCTCATGATTGTCCTAGTCAGCACGTGTGCGTTTCCGGTTTCTGCCAGTGTCAGTGCAGCGAGCAGAACAACTGCGCCGAAGGCGAACGTTGCAAAAATGGAGTCTGCATAAAAGTGTGCTATAGTGATAGTAATTGTCTGCCAGGTGAATTGTGCATCGACGGTGGCTGCGAAGTGGGCTGCACCTCTGATGCTGGGTGCAATGATAATGAAGTCTGCATCAACAACAAGTGCAAGTAAGTATTGGCTTTATTCGTGCTTTATTATTACTTTTATTTTATAATAACTATGTATTTGCATAATTTTAAACATTCTGTTTTGCAACTTATAAAATTTTTATAAATCATATATTAATTCTATTTTCTAATAGATGTAGTCATGGATTCATTGCTGGGCCAGAACACTGCCTCGATATCAACGAATGCGATGACCAACCATGCCATTCCAGTGCGGAGTGCATCAATCTGCGTGGTTCCTACCGCTGTGTCTGTCCGCAAGGCACAGCCGGCGATCCAGTCGGTTCAGGATGCATAATTCCTCATCAATGCAATTTGCACGTGGACTGTCCGGACTCGCAAGCTTGCATCCAACACAACTGCACCGATCCTTGCACTCTAGTCGACTGCGGGCTTAATACGATCTGCTCGGTTCTTGACCACACGGCCTCCTGTCAATGTCAGCCTGGTTACATCGGTGATGCCTCGGGCTGCTTCAAAGTAGAGTGCCTTTCAAACAACGACTGCCCCACGGACAAGTATTGCAATGAAGACACCAACAAATGCAGCAGTAAGTTTCGAACATATTTTTCAGTTCTCATTTATAAAATAAATTTAATTAATTTATATTTAAAGTAAATGTCCCAATTTCTACTTACTGACTTATTTTTCTGTGTTGTTAAGATAACATAAATTATATTGGTGAAACAATATTTATCTATAAAATAATTCTTTGAATTTTACAGGTCCTTGCAATCAGATGAACTGTGGATATGGCAATTGCATAGCTTCTGACCATATTGGAATATGCAAATGCTTCCCCGGATTTGAGTTAGCCGGTGATATTTGCATAGACCTTAACGAGTGCCTGGAGAAACCTTGCCACTCTTCTGCCACGTGAGCAATTCTTATAATTTTATACGATCTAACGAATTTCATTTTTGGACGACTTATTTTGATGTTGAAACGCGTTTTACAGCTGTGAGAACACAGAAGGCTCTTACGCCTGCGTGTGCCCTCATGGTTTGGTCGGAGATCCATTCAAGTCCGGCTGCAAACAGCCTGGAGACTGTTTCGCGGATTACGATTGTCCAAACTCGGCTGCTTGCGTCGACAACAGATGTACAAATCCCTGCGATCTGTCGCCCGTTTGCGGAAGGAATGCTGAATGCTTCGTTCGCGATCACGTTCCACTTTGCAGATGTCCTGGCCAAACCACAGGCAATCCAGCAGTAAGTCTTCCAG